GGGGTGAGGGGCGGAAAAGCAGAGCAAGGCGTCATCCCTAGCACCGCCGCCGCCCCTACTCCTGAGTTTTGCCGAACCTCTGTCTGACTGCTGACCCGGTGGTCGGTGGTCCGTGTCGCCCTGCTCCCTCTCTCAGCCGCGCAAGATCAGCCCTGCTCAGCACAAAAGCTATCAGGCTATCAGCTTGAATCCAAACAAACTCTCGGGAGGAGCAGAGAGTTTCTCCGTCGGGGTCGTCGGAAATATCCAGAGAGGCGCACAATTTCGCGTGGCGCGGACCGACGCTTTAGGGGGGGGGGGGCTGCTGCTAACGAAGCACCTAGCCCGCCTGCCCGGACGAACTTGTATCCGTTCGATAGGTAAGTACACTACTCTGTCCACACGGCGCTTTCCGCCCGGGTGGGTGGGTGAAGGAGGTGCGGGTACCGCCCCCCCCCCTATTCCCATCCGAAACTTTATTTTCCAGAACTTTGCGCCGGTTGCACTCTGCATGCCGCGGGAAGGGTCTCGGACAGAAGGTACAGACAGGGCCGCGGCTCAAAAGTGCAACTTATTCCTAATGACTTCGAAAGGTCCAGGAGATAACGACCTCCGGGTATGCTGGGAAAGGTGCACCATACCACCACAACCTTGCTTTCCTAGACGCTGCAGGTTGGTGAGTTTTACTGAGGTACCGGGTGTAAACTGTGAATACGCAGCAGTGTTGCGGGATTGCATACTCAACATGCCCGCAGGGGCTATGGCCCCTTACGGGTGTGAAGAGTAGGCAAACCCGCAACACTGCTGAGTATTCACAGTTTATACCCGGTACAAGTATGGCGTGCGAGGACCCGAGGAGAAGCTGAAGCTGAACACGGCCAGCTGCGATGAGCGGGTGATGGCCGTGCCCGCCCGCCCGCCGCCCGCCCCGCCCGTGTCCTGTCCGCAGCTACCCTTCCCTAACGTTGTTACACGAGAATTACTGCACGTGGCCTCCTGCCCACTCCCTCCCCTTCCCTCCGTCGACTGACCAGCGGGCAGTGACCATGCAGATAACGCGGCGGGCCGCCCCCTCCCCCGCACCACCTCCTCCGCCACCGTAAGGCGGTTTCCGGTGCCCGCTCCGCCGCGCCACGCCACGCCACGCTTACCTGGTTCCGGTGCAGTTGATGCAGCTCGCCATGTTCAGTCCGCGGAACGGGCCGCGGCGGCAGCGGCGGCGTGAGAGGTTAGGACTCTGGCGCGCAGCTGCCGCCGCCGCCACCACCAGCAGCGGGCCGGCGCCGGGGGCGGCGGCAAGAGTGCAGCAGAAAGAGCGCGGTTACGGTTACCTCACAGGGGAGTGAACATAAGCCCGGGCTGGCGGCGGCAGGGCGGCGCGCCCCCGCCCCAGGGCCGCTCAGATGCTCTGGCCGAGTTATGCAAAGTTATGTACTGTACCTGCCCCAGACCCCACAGCCGCCGCGCTGCGCTGCGCTGAGCGAGGAGGAGGACGAGGTGTACGCGACCAAGACGACGACGACTGTTACTTACCACTTCTTTGCCCGTTCGGAAACGAGCGGTGAGACGACGGGGGGAACCACGGTGGGCGGCCACAGGCCAAGCAGGCAACGGGTCTCAAACAAAAGGAAGGGGGAAAAAATCAAACAATTTAAAAACTGACAATAATAATAAATTCGTCGAAAAAAACAACAAAAAAACTGTTATGTAGAAAAATGTTCGTGAAGCTTGCGGAAGCCTGGCATGGGCTAAAAATGGCTAGAAAGTGTAAGACAGGTTGCCCAGTATAGTAGGTTGTAATTCGGCGGGAAACTTATTTGGTCTCAGAGGCACCGGAAGTGAGTTGGATGGGGGAGAGGGAAAGAGGGGGGGG